TCTTGGACTTCCAAGCCTCTAGAACTGTGAGAAATAAATTTCTGTTGTTTAAACCACCCAGTCTGTGGTATTTTGTTATGGCAGCCTGAGCTAATGCATCTGGTTTATTGCTCGGTTTATTGCTTCAAGCAGAGAGGTGAAATTAACATCCACCATAGTGTACTTATCCATTAAACCATATTTTTTTGTTGATTTCATCAACATAGATATCTAGGTTGCCTCCAACTTCCCCAAAATACCATGACACATTCTCATACTTATCCACTTACTGGCTACTGTGAGAATTTCTCTGAGATATGTATCAAGGAGTGAGATTCTTTTTTTTTTTTTTTTAAGATTTTATTTATTTATTTGACAGAGAGATAGCGAGAGCAGGAACACAAGCAGGGGGAGTGGGAGAGGGAGAAGCAGGCTTCCCGCTGAGCAGGGAGCCTGATGCGGGGCTCGATCCCAGGACCGTGGGATCACGACCTGAGCCGAAGGCAGACGCTTAACGACTGAGCCACCCAGGCGCCCCAAGGAGTGAGATTCTTAATTCTTGATTTTATTTTAATTTTTTTAAAAAATATTTATTTATTTATTTGAGAGAGAGAGAGTGAGAGTGAGCGAGCAGGAGTGTGGGAGAGGGGCAGAGTGAGAAGCAGACTCCCTGCCGAGCAGGGAGCCCAGCTCGGGGCCACGACCTGAGCCAAAGGCAGATGCTTAACCGACTGAGCCACCCAGGTGCCCCTTGATTCTTTTTTTTAAGGTTTTTATTTTAAGTCCAGTTAACATGCAGTGTTATTATTTGTATGATATAGTGATTCAACACTTGCATAAATCACCCGGTGCCCATCAGGATAAGTGCCCTCCTTAATCCCCATCACCTATCCCCCCCCCCCCCCCCCCATCTTCCCTCTGGTAACCATCAGTTTGTTCTCTATAGTTAAAAGTTGGTTTCTTCCTTTGTCTCTCTCATTTTTTCCCTTTGCTTGTTTGTTTTGTTTCTTAAATTCCACATAGGAGTGAAATCATATGGTATTTGTCTTTCTCTGACTGGCTTATTTTTCTTAGCATAATGCTCTCTAGTTCCATCCATGTCCTTACAAATGGGAGATTCTTGATTCTTGAATCAAATCCCATTGCTTCCCAGAATGACCCTGTACTCTCTCATCCAAACAGCATTAGGGTTTCTGTTTTCCCACCTCCTCTCCAACTTTTCCTATTATCCAGCTTTCTAATTCTTGCCATTCTGATGACTATAAAATGGTTTTCAGTCCATCTGGGACACTGCCCTCCAGTCTTTGATTATATCTCATCCTTGCTCCAGGAGAGTTTCAGATGTATAAGGTAGTTAAATGTGAGGCTTTCCATAATCTAGACCTCCTTATGTATTCTACTGTCTTACCCTCCTTCCAAAATTGAGCTTGTCCTTTTTTGTTAGACTCACTACTCTTCTGCCCCTCCCACTAGGTGGTGTCAGCTCAGCTGCAGTGCGTCACTCGTAACTTTGTCCAGAACACCCTTGCCTGTCCTCTGCTGTCTGATTCATCCCGTTCCTCCCTGCCCAGGACAGTATCCATTTACCCACAGGACCTCAACACTACTCCTCCAGCCCGGCTGACCAGAGCTTAAGGTCACATGAACTTAAGTTCGGATGCAGGCTGCTGCACTATTTGCAGCAACCCTGTGGGTGTGCTAGTCTACCTCCCTCTCCCTGGGTTTCCTCACTGGTAAAGATGGTGGTAATAAAACCTGTCAAATAGTTTGGTGATGGTGAAATGAGATAATGTACATAGTAAGTGCTCAGAAATGGTACCTATACTGTTTTCTAGTTTTCTAGTTGTTTTATGGATCTAAATCGTATCTCATCAGCAAGATTGTGGGTTTCTTTTCAGGGCAGGGGCTGAGTCTTACGCTTATTTTAATTAGTAAATCTGGCACGCAGCTCAGAATACAGATGCTTAGATGCTTAAGAAACATTTGTTGGTTTGACCTGAGGTGAGTTTGTGATTGTCTGAGATGACTTGTTTTATTTTATTTATTTTTATTTTTTTTCCCAAAGAGCAAATGCACAACCAGTTGTAATACACAATGTAAGGCGGAATGGGAAAAGAGCTGAAGGCGGGGGTGGGTATGTGCATGGAGGGCCGCAGGAACTCGGGGCCAGCTGAGATTACTTGCTTTAAAAGAGGGAACAGTGTTACCCAATTCTGCGTTATTCCACCATTCATTTTAAGCAACCCAACTTTGGCTTTGCTTTGGTGATTTGGGATTGACTTGTGGTAACCTGAATGTGTATGAGTGGCAGGGCAGTAGTGGGAGCTTGGTAGTGGTCATGACAATGGATTCCCCAAGGGACAGAGCCAGGCTGCGGCTCAGCATCCGAACCACCACCTCTGGCCTCTCCCTCATAGACTTTGAGCTGGGCTGTTCATCTGCGCGGGGCAGCTGTTGTGGCCTTGGCCACCCTGGGTGAGGCTGCTCAGGCCCTTCCTGATTCTTCCAGGCTGCCTTCATTACAAGAGGAAACTAGGTCTTTTCTTTTCTTTCTAATATTAAGTATTTTATTTTTTACTTTTATTGAGGTATAATTGACGCATTTTATTCATTTTGGGCATACAAATGGTTCTGTATTTGTATATATTGCAAGATGATTACCACAATAAGTCTAGCTAGCATCTGTCACACACATAGATACAATTTTTTCTTCTTGTGATGAGAACTTCTTTTTAAGTTTAGATTCAATTAGCCAACATATAGTACATTAGTTTCAGATGTAGTGTGCAATAATTCATCAGTTACGTAGAACGCCCAGTGCTTGATGAGAACTTTGAAGATTTACTCTCTTAGCACCTTTCAAATAATACAGTACAATATTAACTATAGTCACCATGTTGTACATTACATCCTAGGACTTATTTATTTCATAACTAGATATTTATACCTTTTGACCCCTTCACCCTTTCCCCCCTCCCACCCCTACCTCTGGCAACCCCCAATCTGTTCTCTTCATCTATGAGCCTGTGGTTTTGTTTTGTTTTTTTAAGATTCTACGTGTAAGTGAGATCAGATGATATTTATCTTTCTCTGTCTTATTTCACTTAGCATAATGCCCTCAAGGTCCATCCATGTTGTCACAAATGGCAAGATTTCATTCTTTTTTTATGACTGCGTAATATTCCGTGTGTGGGTGTGTTTGTGTGTGTGTGTGTGTGTGTCATGTTTTTTTTATCCATTGACTCATGGGTGGACACTTAGGATTTTTATCATGTCTGAGAAGCTATTGTAAATAATGCTGCAGTGAACATAGAGGTGCATATATCTTTTTGAGTGATGTCTTCTTAGGATAAATACCCAGAGGACTTGCTGGATTGTGTGGTAGTTCTATTTGTAATATTTTCAGGACCCTCCATACTGTCTTCCCCAGTGGCTGCACCAATTTTCACTCCCACCAACAGTGCACGAGGGCTCCCTTTTCTCCGCATGCTCACCAACACTTCTTATGTCTTCTCTTTTTGAACAATAGCTGTTCTAACGGGCGTGAGGTAATATCTCAGTGGGCTTTTGATTTGCATTTTCCTGATGCTGACTGCTGTTGAGCCATTTGTGTGTCGTCTTTAGAAAAATATCTGTTCAGATCCTCTGCCCATGTTTTTCATTGTATTGTTTGTTTTTGTGCTCTTGAGTTGTAGGAGTTCTTCATGTATTTTGGATATTAGCCCCTTATCAGATAGAAGACTGGCAAATATTTCCTCCCGTTCAGTAGGTTGCCTCGAAATGAGGTCTTTTCAGACCTCCTCTCAGATTTCCCTGCATCATGCTTTTGCAAAAGGCTATTGCCCTGACAAAATGTTAAACCTCCAGTGACAAATTCAGGGTCATGGTTACCGCTGGAGAGGCAGGGAGGGGCATGAGAGAGGGCTTCGTTGCAATCTGAGTTGTTTTATTTTTTTATTCAGGGCCGTGGACGGATGTTCATGATATATGGTATATACTGCAAAAAATATTTACATTTGTTATATATATATTTATTATTTATATTTAGTTCCTTGTGCACAGGGGCAAAGGATATTTGGAAATGGACTTGCTAGGCCAGAGGGCATCCACACTTCTCACTTTCCTGGGTATTGCTGGATTTCTCTTCAAAGGGACTGTCTCCTTTACTTCCCCGTAGCAGTGCACGCGAGCTGACGTTGGCCCACATCTTTGCCAACCCTTGGTAGTATCATCCAGGCTTTTCTCTCTCTGCCCAGATCCCCAGGAAAGACAGGAGGGGAATGAGGGAGAGGAACGGCAAGGTTTTAAAATTAGGAAGAGGGCGCCTGGGTGGCTCAGTCGTTAAGCTTCTGCCTTCGGCTCAGGTCATGATCTCAGGGTCCTGGGATCGAGCCCCGCATCGGGCTCCCTGCTCTGCAGGGAGCCTCCTTCTCCCTCTCCCACTCCCCCTGCTTCTGTTCCCTCTCACACTGTGTCTCTCTCTGTCAAATAAAGAAATAAATCTTTAAAAAAAAATTAAATAAAATAAAATTAGGAAGAGAATGTCAGCTCTGAGGAATTTCCTGTTAACATTTATTTTAATGAGGAAAAGATTTTATTTTCTGTGTTGGTGCAAATAACATTTAGACTTATGTGGGAAAACTGTTAACATTTTTACTCTGAAGTAGAGGACTTCCCCCCCGCCCCATTTGCTTTCTTGGCAAGTAAGTAGAATAGACCAATTAGCAAGCTAATGTTCTAAATGTTCACTTGCAGTAATAGTTATTTTTAACTGTTTTAAATAGCATGGAGCATTGGGTTTATTCTTAATGCTTTTCAAAGTTTTGAATTTGCTAAAATGAATTGAATCTAAAATGTGACAGCTTTATGGATAGAGATTGATCATAATTATTTGCCACTCAAAGGTGCATTTTGTAATGGGAAAAATAAACTGGGGGGGGATGTGTTTACCCTTTAAAAAATGAGTAAGACAGACACAAAGAGTAACTTCAGCCATTTTATGTTGTCGCTTGCATTCATAGGTGGGAAAGGAAAAGTTCCACAAATCTCAACATTGGGGCTTTTGCAACAATGTGAGCATGCTGGTGAGTGAAGATAAACCCGGAATTGGTGGAGAACTGCTTCTTGGGCAAAAGATGAAGCCGAAATACAGTGAATTTCCTAAAGGAATGGGAAGTGATGCGCCATCCTGGGTAGCTTTTGATAAGCAGGTAAGTCCCATGACACTGGGAAAAATGAAATCGTAAAATGTGACATGTATGTTATAGTGTATTTGAGAAAACGCGAGTCCTCAATGTAAATGTTCAGGCTCGTTCTTTTGAAAAGACACACTGCAGAAGAAAAGTACCCTACAGCTCCTATTTCTGACCAGGCCCACTGGTTGCAGGACACCGAATGTTTATCTTTCTTGGCTAATGCTTACCAACCTTTCTCTCTTCTCCTCCTCTGGACAGGATAATCTGTCCTCCTATAGACCCTTAGAGTCTGGTCAGAGTGTCACTTTTGGCTTTGTGAGTTGCCATTAACGAAATCATGTTGTCTGATTTGGAACATGCCATTAAATAGCAACAGAAAGATGTCTTCTCTTTTCTGCATCCTAATCATGGTTCCCCATCCCTGAGAACCAAAGGGTGATGTGGCATGAATTGTAGAAGTGAAGGAAAGAGGTGCCGTTATTAGACAAGATTCTGAACTTAACGTATATGTTTGTGCACATAACACACACATATCATGGTGAATTGATAATTGGAAAAGGTAATCCATTTGAATATCTTAAAAAGGGACTTAAGACCAAAGGGAAGAAAAACGCAGGGTGACCAGTTATTTCCCATAAGATAGCAGAATGGATATGTTTTGTTTTTGAGATAACCCTGTATCATGGCCTCATGTTCTGTTCTCCAAAAAGGAACCTATTACTAGATTATTTAGGTTCTGTAATTAAAAAATAATTCAGGACTGTGGGTCACCTGGGTGGCTCAGTTGAGTGTCTGACTCTTGGTTTCGGCTCAGGTTGTGATCTCAGGGTCGTGGGATCTAGCCCTGTGTCGGACTCCATGCTGAGTGGGGGAGTCTGCTTGGGATTCTCTCCCTCTCCCTCTGCCCCCCTACCCTGCTCGAGCACATGCGTGGTCTCTCTTGTTCTCTCTTTCTAAAATAAATCTTAAAAAAAATAATTCAGGACTAGATAAAGAATTCAAACCTTAATACCCTAAGTTTACCAGGTGGTTTTTAGCAGCTTTAGCATGGATTAGTTGGCAATACTTTGATTCCAATTAAATGTCTTCAAATTTGGTAGAAGTGACATATTCTGTGTCATCTGTGTTCAGGTTGATCAATTAGAGCGTATATTTTTTTTGAAGCCCTGTTCTGACACTTATGGAGATCTGACAGACTTCAGGGAAGCTTCTTTCCAGGGAAACCATCTCTACTTTGAACATGGACCATTATTTCTCTCTCTCATTCTCTTTAAAAAATGTTTTTAAGATTATTTTCAGTACCTGGCCCAATGTTGGACCCAGAGTTCAGAAGCAATTTCTGGGCTAGCTTACTTGGCTGGATCATGCATGGTTTCCTGTTAATATCAATCTTATAGGTGTTTGCACATCATCATTCTAGAATATTTAATTTGCAAGGGACAAAGAAAAGTTCTATTTTTTACTTCTTGTGTCAAAAAGAGGGTATTGACAATAGATTAATCCACTACTGAATAAGTAATGTTGGAGGTGACAATATATTAAACTATTCTCTTGCACTGAAAGTTGAAAATTCATTTTATTTCATGTTTTTCTCAATATTTAATATGTGCCTTTCAAACCTATTTTGCAGCCCTTTAATTACTTATAAAATTATGTAGAATATTTCATGAAGTTGGAATGATTTTAGCTTCAAACTACTTGAGAAAATGAAGAGCTTGCTCATTTTAGGCCTAACTAAATGCAACATAATTCTTTCAGTTATTTTGTTGGTCAACTTCAATTAAATATTCATTGAGCTTTAAATGAGACACTAAGACTATGAAATATTTACGTGCTCTGATGAGATTGTGAACTACAGACTGGATCCTGGTTAATACCCAGAGCAAATTATAAAGCGCTTTCCCCATTCGTGGTTCAACAAAACCAGTCAACACCTGTTAATCATTTTTCTTAACTCATTGCCAGTTCTCTAATAGCTTTTAATCATAGCAGTGTATCTAGGATTATATATTCTCAAACAGTACAAGATAGAAATAAAGGCAGCTCTTTGGAAAGTGTATCAAAATCTAATATTTGTAATAGATGCCCCTGGTGCCCACCCAGATCCACATTAAGGATGGGGCACCCAGCTCCCCCACATGCAGCACGTGCTTTGGCACACAGCTCACACCCGTAACCCTCTATGGAGTGTTGTTCTTGGCCGATGGGCATAGCATTACCGAGAGAAACCTGGACAGTTGCACTGGCCCCATCACCACAAGAAGAGGTGGCAAAAGGCTCAGTGATTTGTCAAGGGTAAAAAGCTGAGCTTCTTCAAGGCTGGACAACTCTGTATCGTGGATTTCGGCTCATAGCCCCTTGTGCGTCAGGTCCAGGCAAAACTTTACATGAGATTGTATCCTTGCTTGGCTCATTTCCCTTCCCTTGGGTGCTCCCCTCACTCCTTACAAGTTTCTCCTAAGAGTGTGCCCTTGGGGGCGCCTAGGTGGCTCAGTCAGTTGAGCATCCTGCTCTTGGTTTCAGCTCAGGTCATGGTCCCGCGGTACTGGGATCCAACCCCGTGTCGGGCTCTGTGCTCAATGCTGAGTTTGCTTCAGATTCTCGTTCCTTCGCCCTCTGCTCCTCCCCTGCTTGCTCATGCTCTCTCTCTCTCTCTCAAATAAATAAACAAAATCTTAAAAAAAGAAAAGCGTATGCCCTTCATAAATCACATGCACCTAAATCCCTCTTCCAGGCCTTGCTTCCATGGAGCTCAACCTAAGACAATAGTCTGGGTTTTATCCGTAATTCTAAAAGTGACCATAAAAATGCTCTGCCCAGGCAGACCATCAGATCCCAAGCAGAGAAGAGGCTATTTGCAATCACCAAGAAGAGCCGGCATTTACTATCCTGCATGGCCCCCATGGCAGACATTTCTAGCTGTTTATCTTTTATTCACTTTCCCCTTCATTCTTACAGAGGGAACACCAGTGTTATTTTGGCGGGAGCTGTGCCCATTGAAAAGTGTTCCGCTGCCCAGGCTCCTTTGCAGCTAGGGCTGGCCAGGTGATTCACTTCTGGCCATTGATATATGGGTGAAGGTTTATTGGGTAGGTCTCCTGGGAGAGTTTTTTTTTTCTAATTAAAAGAGGCTTGGCTGATAATGTTTTTCCCGCACTTTGCTCTACCTTTGTTTTTCTGTCTGGAACTAGGATGTGATCCTGCAGCCATCTTGGGAGAGCCGTGCTGGCAACCCAGAGCCGCTGGGCTGCCTCTCTCTGGACTTCCTTGTTCTATGAGAAAAATCAGCCCCCATTTCAGAGGTTCTCTGAACCCAGGGAGGCCTTTGGAAATGTGTGCAGGTGTTTTGGGTTGTCACAGTGACGGGACTAGGTCGAGGCAAGTGAGGCCCTTAACATGAGGGCACAACTTAACGGGGCGCCCCGAACCTCAGTACTCAAACCAGATAGTATTTTATTTTATTTTATTTTTT